CTGCACAACTGGCTATCGTACGCGACGACACTGCACAGATTTTGAGAAGTAAGAGGACCACAGGATACTCAAAATTAATGCTTTTTGCCATGTATACGTCGACTATGGTCTATGTAATTTCCTTGGAATGGGGGTTCTTAGGGTATTCAATAGTAATTTTTAAAAATACTTTGCAAGGATTGAATGACACGTAAGGATTTACGCATTGGTTTACAGGTGTCTGTGCATGTGTTGCACGAACCATTCGCAGTTTTCCGATATTTATCTAAGATAATAAAAAAATACATAGTATACCTCACAGCGGGAGGCATTAGTAGTGAAACAGTTTCCGCGTGTATTTTGCACGCGAGGACACAAACACCCAGTGGCTTACTAATCTGGGCTTCATAACTAGTTTTTATTCACACGGGTTTTCATTTTTATTCCATTTTTAAGTGCGCCTAATGAAATTCAGAGATATTATCTAAGTCAAATTACGCTACTACGAAAAAGTGTTTCAAGATGACGCAAGATATGTTTATAATTACTATGAAAGGAAAACATGGTCCAGTAATAGTATCACGTAAATATTTGCAAAGATGCATAATGCTTTGCAGAGAAAAAATTATAAACATGTTTTGACCAAACGCAAGTCGTGTTTCGATAGAGAAGAGACGTAGGCAGGAAAAAGCGCAAAAGTTAATTTTCTTATGATTATATTCTACATGTCAGTCTCCAAGTTTTGGAAGTTGAATCACAATATGTGCAGTAAAAACATTCTTCAATCTGGAGACAATTATAATAAGCTACCGAAACATGAATGTGGACCGGTTTTGCTTTTATGATGGAATGGACTTTTTAATATGAAACTGGCGTAGCAGACTTTAACATTCCATAATTTGAAGAACCAGGGCACCAAATAATAATTTGTTATATTTTAATGCAGACCAAGTGACCATTAGAACTATAACGTGGAGGTAAGAAATTCGACTTTTAGGCCGGTTTCATTAGGAGAAGAGACAGACTTATTGGGGAGTTCAGGGTAATAGGAAGTGCATATTCTAAACAGAGGGCTTAAGTAGGCTGTTTGATTGCGGCATTCCGCAGTATTGCCTGGCAAAAACCATGAGCGGTGGCGTAGGATAGGCTATTTGATCGATGGAAAAACGTTATATCGTCTGGTGTCGTTTTACGCTGCGCACAATGTAGTGGACAATGCATGGACATCGGTGTACTATCAATTCTGTTGACCTTGGTTAGCTCGAAGGCTCACATTCGAGGAAGTATCTCGCTTGTTTCGTGTTAGCCATGGTGCTGCCATCCTAATTCAAGCGTTACACGCAGTTGATGCAGTGCGCAAAAAGGAGGGGTAAAAGGCTCTCGTCGGCGAAAAGCTGAGTTATGTCCATTGATACGCGCCCCGAGACATAAACTCAAGAACACCCCATACCCTCTCCTACATACTGACTATAAAGTATACACCAAAGTCAGCATTCACTGTGAAATGCATTTAGAAGTATGCAAACTCAAAGCCGATATACATGCACGATTTTCTGTGGGAAATGAATGCGGCGTTTGGATTGTATACCTTACATTAAAGGCTAACAGCTGGCAGGATGACCTTAGAAAAATGAGTCATTGCATACACACCTGAATGTGTGTCACGTCTCACGGCAAAACAATTCGTCCCGGATTGGTGCAATCGTGATAGACGCAAATATACGTTATTTGGGTTAAGATATATATGCACAGGTATGATTCCTGCATCCCTTATAACAAAACGAGCCACATACACCTGATAGGTGTGCAACCTGGGAGTTGTAATATGTAAAATGGTACCTACCAGTTGATGTCTCGTTTTCGCGTCCTCTGTTGCGTTCAGTATATTGTCCATGTCTTCCCTGGATTGAATCCTTCGGCAGACCGTTGGGGGTACATCATCAGCTATGGTAGTGGAACTATG